TACGTTACATGAGGAGAAATCATCAAATTTCATTTAGTTCATTCTTATATTGATATGTCCATTTCCAAACACCGAGGTGAGTGCCGCCGCCCGTATAACAATCGTTACTTAATATAATACGTTAATATATGCTATATTTGTTATATATTCAATTGATTTAATTTCTGTCACTAATAATCGGGAACGCCGTCGACTTTTATTTTTAACATGCGTTACGTCCAAATTATCCAAAATATTCCCCAAAAGGATTCAATGATGATTATATAAGGGCATGCGAATAGAAAATAAGGTTTTGAAACAAATTTTTGAACACCATTAAGGAAGGCGACCGAAAAATGGGTCTAGATGGTGACGCGTGTTTTCTACAAATCTTTACGTCCAAACTATTTATATATGTTTTATAAAAAGTATCTTGATGATAAAAAGGAGAAAAAAATTAAGTTTTGAACATAAAAACAAAGTTACCTCGTCGGAGAAGGTGACCAGAAATGACCAACTCTAAGTGAGAAGATTCTTTTACATTCTATACCTAAAACTATTTCTCTACATTCTAAGGTAGTTTTTAATAAGTTTTTAGTAAGAAACAAAAGATAGCTTTGAAGCAAATATAAAATACTCTATGTATTATTTTTAAATTTCGTATATGGAATAAAATATGCGATATGTGTTAAATTTGAAATATGGATTCAAAAAAAAAGTTAATGAGGCACATACAGATACAAATTATATTTCTCAAAATTAATAAACGATTTCTGATATGTGAACTACGGTTCACGAGGTTCTACGGGGTTAACCTGTACCCCTCCATTGCCGTACAAGCCCGTCATAATGAACTAGTCGTGTACGTTAAGTACTCGGAGTCCCAGTTACATAATGGACTTGTCTTGTACGTTAAGTACTTGAAGTCCCAGTTAAACAAGAATAAAGCAGAGTAAAGAAAAAAGTTCAAATATGTGGATATTGCACCTTTATGGAATACTGAAACAAAAATGAGTTGATATTATCAAAGTAAAGAATTTTGAGAAAAGTATATGTGTACGCTATTATATTTCGTACCTATTTTTACAAGAAATGATACAATTTGATAATAACTTGTCTTATTGAATATTGAGAGATATGACCCTATATATAGGGAATACAAGAGTAATCAAAGTACAAGTAGGAAAGGAAAGAATAATCCTAGTAAGAAAGGAAAGAAGTATCCTAATTTAATTATACTTCCTAATATCCCCCCGCAAGCTGATCAACGGAGACGAGGGGCAGCTTGGAACATAAGTACTCAAAAGGAACTGGCGGAAGCGGTTTGGTAAGAATGTCTGCTAGCTGCTCTGAGGAGGAAACATGATGTGGAGTCATAGTGCCTGCCATAACCGCATCTCGTACAAAGTGACAGTCTATGCCCACATGCTTCATGCGATCATGAAGAACTGGATTTTTGGTGACACAGATAGTCAACTCATTGTCACAGTATAACTTCGGTTTGGACGGAGGAATACCCAGTGCATCAGTGATATATCGAAGCCACATAGCTTCTGCAACCCCTGCAGCCATAGCTCGATATTCAGCTTCAGTGGATGATCTAGAGACACGAGTCTGCTTTTTCGTGCACCAAGAGATGATATTAGGACCGAGTAGGAGTATGTAGCCCGTGGTAGACTTGCGATCATCTTTATCATTGGCCCAGTCAGAGTCAGAGTAGACAGATAGGTCGAATCCCCCCTTGCGAAAAAGAAGACCATGATTCAAAGTGCCTTTGAGATAGCGCAGAACGCGTTGCAAGGCATGATAGTCCTGCTCAGTGGGGTTGTGCATAGTCTGAGACACTCGATTAACAGCATACTGAATGTCTGGACGAGTGACAGCCAAGTAATGTAAACCGCCAACAATGCTCCGAAAATGAGAAATATCCTTGAAAGGCAACGAAGGCTTAGTGATAGGTCTCGTAGCCATAGGAGTAATAGCCGGATGACAGTCGGACATCCCAGCTCGGCGTAGAAGATCACGGGCATATTTGGATTGATGGAGAAGTATAGAATCTTGCGTGCGCTGAACCTCAATGCCAAGGAAGTAATGAAGAGGTCCAAGTTCTTTGAGCTTGAAGTCACGGTGCATGGCCTGAGTAACTTCTGAGATGAGAGTAGAAGAGCTGCCAGTGAGAACAATATCATCAACATAGACAAGGACAACAATAGTCCCACGAGAGCAGTGTCTGGTGAACAAGCTGGTATCATGAATGCAGCACTTGAATCCAAGGCCCTGCAAAAAAGAGGAGAGGCGTGTGTACCATGCACGGGGTGCCTGTTTGAGA